CCACGACAAAAGTCCCGCAAGAGGTCGGAGGAAAACTCACCACCTCTGTAAGAGTGCAGACACAGGACGGGAAGGTCCGTCTCGAACCGCTCGTGGAGCTGGAGACGAACAGCGTGGATCCAAGGGATCAAAACATCAGAGACCTCCCTCTTGGTGCGCAAGGGGAAGACCGTGGTGTAACGCGTGTAGTCGTCGACAACCAGCAGAAAGTAGCGCTCGCGGCCCTGTCCACGGACGCGGGCTGGGCCCCACACGTCTATGTGGAGAGTCTGCAGGGGAGCAGTCGTCGGGGGAAACTCGGAGGAGTGAGGAGCGGCGCGCTGCCGCCCCTTGACACAGGGAAGATAGGGAGGGGCAGGCGAGGGTGGGAGGGGAGGGAGAGACCTGGGAAGACCAGAGACAAGGAGACGGGAGTGCATGCCACGGAGGCGTGCCACAGAGGGGTGACCAAGGCGGTGGTGCCAAAGGAGCGTCTGGTGCGACAGGGCGCGACACGAGCAGGGGGCCGACAGCTGACCTGACGCAGACGCAGACGCAGCTACTTGAGGAGGCGCAGTAGTCAGTGTGTACAGACTCGACCCAGGCCGACGGGTGAACGTGGCCAGGTGCCGGCCAGTCCGGGAGCACGTACAGATCGCCACACGCTGTCCACCATGGGTGAAGGTATCAACCCACTCATCCTGAAGGACGGCGTTGCTCACCAAGTTCGTAGAGAACGAGGGGAGGTGAAGACCTGACAGTGAGCCAGACGGAACCGCCGGACATGGGAGAACAGTGGAGGAACGTGCAAGGACTGGGCCCCCAGAGGGGTCAGCCAGAGAGACAGCAACAGGTGCAGAGAGCGGTGTGACTGTGGTACTGTCGCAAAAGAAACGGCGGGAAGCACCTGAGTCAAGCGTGAAGGTGTGCAAGGCCGCAGCAGACGCAGTACCAGAGAGAGCAGACTCATCAACAACTAGAGCAGCAGACGCACTAGCACCAAGAGCAGCAGCCTCTATACCTGGATCTGGCGGCATACACAGGTAACAGTCACCCTCAGCACTAGCAGTTAATGCATACGTGGCAGAAAGGATAGCATCATAATCAAGAGCAAAGATGTCTACACCCTGCCTAAGCAGCTCTGCCCAGCAGGGGAGCTCAGCCGCGTCGGGAAACTCAGTGCGGAAGGCGTCGGAAAGACGAGGGAACCAGCGGTACTGGGTGTGGAGCTTCCCGCATGTCTGACCAGTGCGGTCACCTGTGCGAATGACATACGGGCAGGGACCACTACCCCCAGCCGCACCACGCTGAGCAAACCACTCACGTAGCTCATGGGGCGAAAGCTGACGCTGCTGCTGCTGCCTCTGACCACCGCCAAGGCCTCCCCTCTGACTGGTACCACCTAGGCCGCCACCACTGCCACCGCCTCCACTCCCAGTGCCTCCACCACCGCCGCCACCTACACATCCACCCCCACCACCACTCCCTCCGCCACCGCCGCCCCCTCCACCGCCTCCACCGCCCCCACCACCGCCTCCACCTCTGCCCCCCCCACCGCCCCTGCCTCCCCTGCCCCTGCCGCTGCGGCGCCTCCCACTAGGGGCAGACGCAGCTCCTACCTCCTCAGCACGAAGGTAGTCAACAGCTGCAGCAGAGGCGACTGAGGGGAGAAGGGGGGAGGGCGAACACCCCTCGAAGAAGGGAGTGCGAGGAGTGCCACGAGAAGCACCTACAGCGACTATGCTAGTCTCTGCTGCAAGGAGGTGCTTCTCGAGCAGGTCGACAGTGAGGGTGGTGGGGTCGAGGGCGAGAAGGAGGTCCCTGACAGCACTAAGAGAGTCAGGGAGGCGGGTGACTATGAAGTAGAGAGTGATGTACATGGGAGGAGGGTTCTTGGTGAGAAACTCGGCGGGAAGCGCAGCGCGGTAGCGAGTGTCACTAGTGCGAAGGTGAGTGACAAGGTCGGCTACTGTGGCAAAGGCGGACAGCTCTGGGAACAGGTAGGGCAGGAGAAGGCGGCCTAGAGCAGCAGTGGCTGGGGAGGAGTAACGAGCGACTACAGCGTCGTACAGTGCTTTCGCAGTCTTATGCTGTCCTAAGTGAGCGCGTTCGGCTAACGGCAGGTGGTTGCGAACGGCTAGGCGAGCAGCAGCGTCACGAGGAAGCCACTGTGAGCGAGTCGCACTGTCTGCTGTGGCGGTAGGGGCGAGAGAGGCGCCAGAAGTGAGGTCGAACAGCGAAATACCGTCCTTAGAGTTGCTCAGTAGGAATAGCTCTAAGTCATCGAGCCAGGAGTCGAACTCTATCGGGCGGCCCTCCGAATCAAAGGTGAGAACGCTCATGGTCGCCATAGCAGGCAGAGCAGGCGAGCGTGCTGGCAGCAGGGCAGCATGCAAGGAGGGCAGGGCAGGGCAGCGGCCAGCAGGGCGGCGCACAGGAAGGGCAGCGCGGCTGATAGCGACGCAAGGGCAGGGCAGGGCGCGTGGCTGCTGGCGGCGCGCTGGCAGGGCAGGGCGCGCGGCTGCTGGCGGCGCGCTGGTAGGGCAGGGCGCACGGCTGCGGGCGGCGCGCTGGCAGGGCAGGGCACTCAGCGGCGGCGGGCGGCGCGCGGGCAGGGCAGGGCCGGCAGCGGGCGGAGCGCGGATAGGGCAGGGCGCGCAACGGCGGCGCGCAAGCAGGTCGCGCGGCGGGCAGGGCGCGCAGCGACGGCGCGCGGGCAGGGCGCGCGGCAGGCAGGGCGCGCGGCGGGTAGGGCGCGCGGGCAGGGCGCGTGGCGAGCAGGGCGCTCGGCGGGCAGGGCGCGCGGCGGGCAGGGCGCGCGGCGGGCAGGACGCGCGGCGGGCAGGGTGCTCGGCGGGCAGCGCGCGCGAGCAGGGTGCGCGGCGGGCAGGGCGCGCGGCGAGCAGGGCGCTCGGCGGGCAGGGCGCGCGGCGGGCAGGGCGCGCGGCGGGCAGGGCGCACGGCAGGCAGGGCGCGCGGCGCGACGGCGAGCGACGCGCGGGCAGGGCAGTGCGCGCAGCAGCGAGCAGCGCGCGGGCAGGGCAGGGCGTGCGCGGCAGCGCGACGCAGGGCAGGGCAGGGCGGCGCGACGCTAACAGGGCGGCGCGACTCGTGGGGTAGCGCAGTTCGGTGGGCCCTAAAAAAAAACCGGTCATAGGCTAGGATCTGCTCTGATACCATGTCAGAATAACGAACAGGAATGAATGAACTAGCAGCAAGATGGGTACAAGTAGGAAACCCTAATTGGGTTGTACCCCATATGGGCTACCCCACTACAGCCTACACAATTAGCAGCATATAAGTTTGACATGTGTAGTGTAACATTTCTCTTGGTGTATGCCCTTGTGGAGGGTAGTTTCGAGACCCTTCTTGGCTGGGACAGTGTGGCACTGTTCCACATCATTGTACCTCGGCTGTTGGGGTTTGTAGAGGTTGGGAGTCATTCCAACCTCGTAACTCTTCCTAATTTGTGTTCTAAGACTATAGTGGCAGCCATACTGCCGTTTGTTCAAACTGACGTTGCGTCGTCAATACTTGATGAAATCGTACGATTTAAATTGCCTATTGTAGACGACGCTAAGACGCTCCAGATCCAGGTTATAGCATGTCATTTGGAGATGTTCTCAGAACGCTATGAACTTTTAAAGCCGCTGTGCAGAAATCTGACTGTGCACTCTGTCTTTCGTTTTAGGCACATTGTGGTATCAGAGCGCCTTGGAGCAGCTTGGACGATGTCTGGACCTGAAGAAAGGGGTGTCAAGGGTGCTGGTGGCAGTGGAGAAGCCCAAGCACAAGGTCAACCCCGTGATTCAGCCATGGCGCTCGTGCAACCTACTCTTGGAATTCTAGGGATGAACCAGGAGTGTTTGGGCTTGACAAGTTCAACGGCGACAACTTTGCTGAATGGTCCTTCAGAGTGGAAAACGTATTTGACCACTATGACCTGCTGGAGGTGATGGAAGGAACGGAGAAGCGCCCGAGAACGACCCGGAGAAGAGCCCGCAGGTGCAGAAGAGCGCACAAGGCTATCTCATACTTGGGCAAGCGTTGGGGAGCAGCCAAATCCGTCACATCAAGCCATTACAGCGTGAACCAGAGAAGGGACCAAGGGCATGGGCTGCTCTCAAGGGTGTACACGCTCCTGCAACAGCGGCGGCAGCGGTGGTGTTGGAACGGCAAATGGCGACACTACGAATTGAAGAAAATGAACCCGTGGAAGAAGGGGTGCATAAATTCTTCGACTTGTTGACGCGGCTTGAGGGAGCTGATTTGGACTACAGTGAGTCCCAAAAGAAGACCAAGTTGCTGGCCGTACTCCCCGAGTCATGATCCTCGCTCATCATTAACTTGAATCGTGACTTGCCCCGCCTCTCGCTTGAAGACGTGAAGCGAGCGATCCTTCAAGAGGAACTCCGCCGCCGCGAGTTGACGGGCTCGGATGGCGCCGGGGCAGCAAGCATCGGCCGTGGGTACGGCCGTGGAAGGGGCAGAGGACCAGGAGGAGGCAGGTTTGGTGGCAGTAACTCCAGTAGAGGCCGCGGGAATGGCGGATATGGCAGCGACGACAAGAGCTACGGACGCGGTCGCGGCCGATTCGACGGCAAATGCCATCGTTGCCACAAGAGCAGACACATGTGGCGCGATTGCTTCAAGCTCCCTGATGGATGGACCCCTGCTCAAGGCGAAGAGGGTAGATGAGCAGGAGGAGGGAGAGGAAGAGGCCGTGGAGGCCGTGGCGGTCGCGGAGGTGGTGCTGCAAACATGAAGAACGAAGATAATGACAAGGATACGAGGGACGATCGGTTCCCGAACAATTCTTCTTCGTCTCGACGCAAGCACCGGCTGCACCAGAGTAGGATGAAAGCCTTGAGGAGCCTGCTGCTGTGGGAAAGGTGATCTTACACGCTATGTAAAGGTGCACCATAGAGGGTACAGATTTGCATACTCCTGTACTTTCTCACTTTAATTAATTTTCGTTTCTAGCAGCAATGCCACTGCTTGATCAGCTAATCTCATATGAGCTACTCCTTAGATGCAGTAGTAGCGGGTAGTGCCAGGGACTCCACAAACTGCTGCAGCTCCGACCTCTCCTCTCGTGTGAGGCCCCTTTCTGATCCCCCCTTGCTCTTGTGGCGCGGCCACAACTTCATCACCAAGTCAGGCGCCCAGCCTGCAGTGACGTTGGTGGCAGGTCAGAGGGAGGAGGGTAGCCAGGGGAGGTGGTACGTGGGTGGGGAGGAGGACGTGGGAGGTGGGGGGAGAGAGCAATGGAACGCAGAATGAGACCGTGAAGTGGGGTTGACAGCATGTGCTAAGCTGATGCATTTGGATCTTAGATTCTTCTCAAAATCACCAGCCTGGCGTGCAACACAGGGAAAATTCACAAGGTCGTACCCATGGGAACCGCCAGCTGTGCAAGACATGGCACGCATGTCCACTGCCCTCCCACCAACCCTCCCTGTCCCCACACTGCTCGGACTCGCACCAACCAAGCTCAGACACTTCCGCTGCCCATCCCTCCCCCACATTCCTTTAGGTCGTACCTGTGGGGACTGGCAGCTGAGCAAGGGCTTTTGACACAGCACGCACGTCCACTGCACCAGCCCTCCTTCCCCCCTCACTGCTCTGACTCGCATCTAGCCCAAAACCTTCCGCCGCCCCTTGTGCCACCCCTTGTGCCGCCCCTTGTGCCGCTCCTCCCACGGTGGTGAACCCCAGGAGGGCAGCAAGGTGGGAGAGGCAGAGCAGCTCGGAGGGGCTGCCGGGCGGCACGATGGAGGCAAAGGGGATGACGGCCGCAGCGTGCTGCTTCCACCGCTGGTGGTCGCGCAGGTAGGATTGCATGTGTGCCTTGATGCGCCTGCATGCAAGAGCGCATGGGGGAGAAAAAAGGGTGAGTGGTGTGGGGGCAAACGAGATCACGGAAGCAGTGTGCTGCTTCCACCGCTGGTGGTCGCCTAGGTAGGCCTGCAGGTGCGCCTTGATGCGCCTGCATACAGGCATACAGAAGGGAAGAAAGGCTTAGAAAAAGGAAAGAGGGGAGGGAGAATGAGAAGGGAGAGGTAAAACGGGTTCTCCGTCCAGTGGTGGTGGTGGGACGGGTGGGCTTGATGCGACTGCAGGAGTGCATAAGAAAGAAAGTATGGTGAGGAGGGAGGCACGAAGAGGAGCGTGCCCTGTGCATTGGCAAGGGCTGAACTGCTGTAGTGCCACCATGAGAGGAGACGACGAGGGCGACAATAGATCCCTAGAGAAGAAGGGGCAGGGGTGACTAGGAGCATTGTGCCTTGATGCAAGGCAGTATAAGCGTGTGGCGAAAGGGACAGTGGGTTGTGGTGGGGAGGGGCTTGGAAAACAAGGGAGACAGAAGGAGAGGCGGGAGAGCAGGTGGTGGGAGAAAGTAAAAAGCATGCAATGTGGCTGCGGTGAACAGTGCAAGGGGGCAACACACGATACGATGGCGCAGAGGTAAGAACATGTCACGGTGGACAGCCAAAGGTAGGACGGCTGGGAGAGGCGGCATGCAGGCAAATCTCCATGACAGACGTCAAGGTGCCACACCCCCTGCCACTCACAACACCCCCTGCCACTCACAACACCCCCTGCCACTCACAACATGCAAATCACACCATCCATGTATGACTCACGGCATGCTGTGTGGTAACCAGCCGACGCGGAGGTAGGAGTCAGCGACGCCACACACGTCCCTCTCTGTCAGCAGCACCACCCCACTCCACTCGCCCACCTCCCACCCCTCCGCCCACTCGTGTGTCTTCACCACCACGTTCACTCCCCCCCACTCCCTTCCGTCCATCCCCACCCCCTCACCATCCTGCCTTTCCCCTCTTCTCTCCGTGGAAGACCCCTCCCCTCCCCCTTCACCCCTCTTGCCCCCAGGTTCGGGCCTGCCCAGTGGCAAGAGCCCCCTGGCGCGCAGCTTGCTGGCGGAGATGGAGTGGAGCCAATAGGAGAGCGCCATCTTGCTCGAGTGGGCGAGCAGCAGGCGGACGGCGTTGAAGAGCCACGTGGAGCCTGCAGTCCGGCAGGGAGGCGATGGGAGGGGGGATGGGAAGAGGGGAGGGAGGGCATGTGAGGCTGGGGTGGAGCCGGGGAAGCCCGTGTGGCGTGCAGTGAAGGGACGTGGAAATGGGAGGAGGGGTTGAGTGGAAAGGGGGAAATGGGAGGGGAGGTTGGGGAGAACGGGAGAAATGGGAGGATGGGTTGGGGAGAACGGAGGAGATGGGAAAGGGGATGGGGAGAAATGGGGGAATGGGAGGGGGGGTTGGGTGGAGGCGGGTGGATGGGAAGGGGAGCCGGGTGGAAGGCCGGGAGGGAGGGGATGTGAAGCGGGGGGAGACAAAGAGGCTGCGACATCGGGTGTCCAGCGAGGAAGGGACGGAGAGGGGGATGGGGTTGGTGACGGGTGGGGGTGCGTGAGTAAGGGATGAAACAAGGGGCAAACGCGAATGTGAAGGGGGTTCGGGGAGGTGAGGGGAAGGGGGAGATGGATTGCACGGGGGGGAGGAGGAGGAGGGGGGGAGCGAGGGGAGGGGGGGGGGGGGGGGGGGGAGGAGGAGTGGGTGTTGCACGAGGACGGGGATGGGGATTGCACGCGGAGGGAAGCATGTGAGTCCCGGTGATTGGAATGCAGCGAGGAGAAGTGACTGGGTCGGTCAGGAGCTTCAGAGCCGAGCCGTACAATGCCCTGTCCGAGACCATTGGGCGGGCCAATACGGGGGGTGTTCAGACGGGCAGAAGTTGCCTTCTAACCCTTGCCATGCGCGTGCAGGCGTTACAAGGGGGGAACGATGTGTGGGGTAGATGGCGGGACAGCTGCGGGATATTGCAGAGCATGAGGGTGCGGAGTTGGATGGAAGGAGGTTGAAGGCTTAGAGACTCGGAAAGCAGTGCTATTTTAGGCGACTCAAGAGCAGTTCCTGGAGCAACGCTATGAGCGTGCAATGAGTGGGTGGTGGCAGGCGCACCCGACCTCTCTGGTCCCGCGCACACGATCAGCCGAGGCCTGCCCATCCACGCACTGCCGCCACTGCTCTGCTCTCCGTGCGCCACGTGTCGGCTCGACAGGACATCTCGCCACGTGGGGTCCACGTGGAGCAGCTCGCACTCGCCGTCGCCGCAACCACTGCCGGCCAGACAGAGCGTTCGCTGCGCCCACGATGGCAAGAGTTCAATCAGGGTTTCGCCTTCTAACGAGGATTCTATAATCGCGGATGAGTGGGTTCCTCGCGGCTCGGCCGCCATGGCGACTACGGTTAAGCGCGATGAGGCTGAGGGTGGCGCTACGAGGAGCCTGGAGAGAGGTCCTCCGGCCCTTTCCCCACCACCTCCCCCCCCCCTCCTCGTGCCCTCCGCCCCTGGCTCTCCGCGCATGCCATGGTCGCCAGGGCCTTCTGTGGTGTCGACTCTCTCACTCAGGTCAGGGCGGGTGGGGGCGCGTCAGGACGGGTCAGGGCGGGTCAGGGCGGGTCAGGGCGGGTCAGGGCGGGTCAGGACGGGTCAGGACGGGTCAGGGCTGATCAGTGCAAGGCAGATCAGCACATCATCTCTCCGCTGCATTCTCTCCCCGCTCCTCGTGCCCCCTTCACCTCCACCCTCCTCCTCCCTTCTTCCCTCTCTTGCTGCTCATTCAACCTCTTCCGCCTCCCTTCTCCCACCTCCAACTGCCATTCACCGATGCTAACTGAATCTCGTTAACTGCTGCTCACTCACGTTGACTCTCTTTGACTCACGTTGACTGGCGTTGACTAATGTTGACTGCGTGGCAGAGGGCGGGCACAGCAGCGGTGGAGCTGGCTCTCGTGGTCTACCACTCGCACGACCCCTTCTCAGGTGCGTCCCTCTCTGCCATGCAGAATGCAGGCAGCCACTCTCAGCTGCGCCCTTCTCAGCTGCGCCCTTCTCAGCTGCGCCCTTCTCAGCTGCGCCCTTCTCAGCTGCGCCCTTCTCAGCTGCGCCCTTCTCAGCTGCGCCCTTCTCAGCTGCGCCACATTGCACCTGCTGTGTGCTGCATCCCAACCCCCTTTCCCCTCCCCCTCTTCCCCATGCAACCGCTCTGCTCCTCCACACTCTGTCACACGCCTGTCACACCACACTCTGTCACACGCCTGTCACACCACACTCTGTCACACGCCTGTCACACCACACTCTCCCTGCCCCAGCTGGCCGGGCTCGGCTTCTCAAGAGGAACTCTCAGGCGACCCAAAACCATGCGTGCTCCTCTCTCTCCCTCCCTCCCATCCTCTCCTGTTTCGACGCCCTCTCCTTGCGTGTTTTGAGTCAACTCTCAGACCTCCCCTCCCCTCCCGTCCGCACCCCCCCTCCTCCCCTTCATCCCGCCAGCCTCGCTGCTGCAGCAGTCGCCCTTCACGACATCGCCGGCTGTCTTCCTGTCGTGGCTCGACGCGCTCTCCTTCTCGGGGGGCGGCGCTGCCAATGCCGCCGTGGCTGAGGGCCTCTCAGAGGCGCTGCTGGTGTGCTCCTGAGTGAGGGGTACGTACTGGTGGTGGTGAGTGGAGCAGTGGGTGTAGCAATGTGTACGAGTGTAAGCAGATGAGTGCAGGAACAGCGTGTCTGTAACTTGCAGAGATTCGGGAGTCGGGAGAAAATCGCGCAGGGCTTCAGTGGCGAGGTGGCCGGGAGGGCCTTGAGGCGAGGTGGTGGTGATGTCACGCCTTCTCCCTCTTTACCTCCTGTTGCCTTTCCCCCTCATCCCTGTTATAACTTGAGCTTAGAATCCATACATTAGTAATGAGCTCAAGGCTCTTTAAGTACATCGGAAAAGGGCAAGGTGGGGATGGGGAGAGAATCAGGGGCAATCCTAGGGGATTGGGGGTGATCCCAAGGCAATCTCCAATTGGTGGGTTGGAGATTGCTTGGAGATCACAATTGGGTTTGGTTGGGATGTGGGTGTACACCCAACCAAGCACAAAGTGCAAACTACACTAAACTAGGATATAAAAAGTACAAGTACAAATGTGAGATTGAGGGCTAACACTAACACTCCCCCATAGACGTCAATCGAACTCAAGGCAGAGAGGGTGGAGCACATAGCCCCATGGTGCCAAGAAGACGATGGTGAGGTACCTTCCCAAGGGGCTTGGTGAACAGATCAGCCAAGTTGCATTCAGACGCAACGTACTCCACGTTCAACTGTTCACGCTGGACAAGGTCACGAATGAAGAAGTGGCGAAGTTCGATGTGCTTGGTGCGAGTGTGGTACACAGGATCCTGGGAAATGTGGATGGTACTCTTGTTGTCACACCAGAGAGTGGGGGTGGGCTGAGGGTAGCCATGTTCCTGGAGGAGGAAGGTGAGCCAACGGGCCTCTTGAGCTGCCATGGTGCCGGCGTAAAGCTCTGCCTCACAGGAGGAGAGGGAGACTGCAGATGACCTGGTGGAGCGCCAGCTAACAACTCCACTGCCAAGGGTGAAACAGTAGCCCTGGGAGGAGCGTCGGTCGGTCTGGTCATCAGCCCAAGAGGAATCGGTGTAGCCTTCCAGTCGAGGAGGAGAAAGACCACCAAGTGTGAGTACATGAGATTTGGTGCCCTTCAGATAGCGCAGCACCCGTTTCGCCGCACTCTAGTGGAGTTCGGTGAAGCGTCCAGGAGCCACATAGCGAGAGAGGACATTGACAGGGTATGCCAGGTCAGGCCGGGTGCACATCATGGTGTACATGAGGGACCCAACAAGCTCTGGGTATAGCTCGGTGCAGGCCTCCGGTGTGGGAACAGCTGGAGCTGTGAGGAGGTGCTGCAGTGGCAGCGGGGTGGCCATGGGTGTGCACAGCTCCATCTCAAAGCGTTTGAGCACATTGTTGATGTAGAACTCCTGGGAGAGTGAGATGGTGCGAGCCTGGCGATCACGAGTGATCTCCATCCCCAGGTAGTGCTTGAGGTCACCGAGGTCTTTCATCAAAAGGGCCTTGCTTAGGGCCACCTGGACAGAGGTCATCTGGGCCAAGTCTTTGGCAACGAGGATGAAGTCATCGACGTAGACAATGATATAGAATGGCTCAGAGTGACGGCGAATGAAGAGAGTCGGGTCAACAGATGATGGGTGAAAGTCCAATGAGAGCAGGACTTCTTTCACTTTGTTGTGCCATTCACGAGGGGCTTGTTTGAGGCCGTAAACAGGGCGATTCAGCTTCCAGACAGTGTTGGGAGGGAACTCTCCTGGAAAGCCTTCAGGCCGGTCCATAAACACAGTCTCCTTAAGGTGTCCTTGAAGGAAAGCCGAAGAGGCGTCCATGGATTTGATCTCAAAGTCGTCTCGTGCGGCAACATCCAAGAGCGTGCGAACTGTGGGTGGTTTGGATGTGGGGGAGAATGTTTTGAAGAAGTCGAAGTACTGCTACTGAGTGAATCCCTTGGCCACATAGCGCGCTTTGAACACTGGGGCCTCGTCCGGAAGCTACTTCACTCGAAACAACCACTTGCCCCCAACGATGTTAACTCCTGGAGGTGGAGTTTCGTCGTCGAAGGAGTGGTTGCGAGTGAAGGCTTCACACTCAGCTTCCATGGCAGTGCGCCACTCGGCAGCATGGGGTCCCGAAAGAGCCTCTTGGACGGTGAGAGGGATAGGGATGGTCGGGTTCTCTGAGAAGTTGAGCGAGGGTGATTCAGTGATGTCGGGGAAGATGTGCGAGAGCTGAGGAGTGACATCGTGAAGATCACACAGCTCCTCATGCCTGTCTTCTAGAAGGGTAGAGGGCACATCCCCCCCACCAGGAGGAGTCGGAGTGATCACTGAGCATCGAATGGCAAGTGCCAGTGGGGGAGCAGCCCCATGCGACCGAGTGCCATGAGCCACCGGAGAGGAGGGTGGAGCAGGCGTTCCTGGAGGGGACGGTTGAGGAGGCCTGGGTGGAGGGAGTGGTCGTCGTTGGTACGTGATCAACTCGGGCGGTTGTGGGAGAGTGGGTTCTTGAGTGGAAGGGGGAACGGGGGGAGGAGGTGGGGCCGGAGGGTTCGACCGCCGATGGTATGTGATTGGTGCGCTTGGTACTGGTGGCGCAGTTGGGAGAGTGGGAGAAGGGGGGGATGGGGGAGCAGCTGCCGATGACACTGGTGAGGTCGGGTCAGAGACCTCCGAGGGAGATGGTACGATGGCAGGGGAGGTAGGAGGTGAAGGAGCTGGTGTAGGCGGGAGTGCAGGAGGTGCTTCAAAGTCAGCCCACACAAGAGAGGGTGGTTCGGAAGGGGAATCTTCCCCCGAGGTGGAGTAGAAGGGGCGGGTCTCATCAAAGACAACGTCACAGCTCCGGACTAACTGTTGAGTGGAGGGGTTGAGGAAGAGGTAGTCAGGAGAGTCGGCGTTGTGCCCAAGGTAGACGCATGTTTGAGTCTTGGGGCCGAGTTTGCCACCTTGCCGCCGCCGAGCCTGGGGGTTAAGGAGGAGATAGGCGGTGCACCCCCAGACGCGAAGAGGCCGAGCAGTGGGTGTTTTCCCGAGCCAGAGTGTGGTGGGAGTGGTATCGGGGAGATGTGGGTGGGGGTAGAGATTGTAGAGGAGTGCGGCATGATAGAGGGCGTACCCCCAGAGTGAGAGTGGTGCTTGGGAGTGGCTGAGGAGGCAGCGGGTGATTTGTGCCAGCGTGTGATTGCGGCTCTCTGCGATGCCGTTCTGCTGCGAGCTGTCAAGAAGGGTGAAGTTTTGCAGAATGCCCTCTGAGGAGCAGAAGGCTTTGAGCTTGTCGTTGCAGAATTCACCACCACCATCTGAATGGAGCCGCTTGACCTTGCGGCCAAAGGTGGTCTGTGCCAGATTGACCCACGCTATGATAACCTCAGGGGCCTCAGCCTTAGTGTGGAGGAGGTGCACAGAGACGTAACGAGAGTGGTCATCAACTATTGCAAGGAAATAGCGATAACCGCCTCGTGCGGCAACAGGGGCAGGGCCCTAGACGTCCATGTGTACTAGGTCCAGTGGGGCTGCTGCGACTGAGGGTGAGGCAGGGTGGGGCTGTTGGTGTAGCTTGCTCTTGGTGCAGTCAAGGCACGTGGGAGCAGGAGAGTGAGGTGGTGGAGGGAGTGAGGCTGGTAGGCCGAGAAGAAGTTTCTTGGAGGCCATGTCAGCGAGCGTGCGGAAGTTTGGGTGCCCGAGCCGATGGTGGTAAAGGATGGTCGGGTTAGCGAAACTGCGACATGTGCATGGTGTGATAGTGGCATGTGCTTGGGTGGTTGACATCTGTGGGATAGGTACGCGCAGCGTGTAGAGGCCGCTGCTGTTCAGGGTGAAGCGAGCTAAGACTTTGTTGGTGAGTGGGTCGATGACGTCACAATAGTCCTCGTACTCTGAGATTATGGTGCGGAGCCCAGCCTTTTGAAGTTCTTGTTGAGCCAATAGATTGTGGCGTACTGAGGGCACGCACATGCCAGTGACAGTGCCGGATGAGAATGCGGGGCATGGGACAGTGGACGAACCCTTGGCAAAAGTGGTGAAGCTTGAATCAGCTCCCAAGAGAGGAATGGGTGTAGAGTAGGGTTTGAAAGAGAGTGTCTCCTTGAGCACTGTGTGGGTGGCACCACTGTCGAGTGTGAATTTTATATAATGTGGTGCCTGTGGTGGGCCGATGTGTTGCGAGGTTGCTTCATTAATCATGGCGGTGTCAAGTGTCAACAAGTTGATGGTTGCCGAAGCGAAGGCCATGACAAAGGACCTTTGGTCTCGCGCGAGGTGCCGCTCTTAACTCACCGGTATGAACTTGAGGTTTAGGGTTTCCGAAGGAGAATTTTGAAGAACTTGAGGTTTAGGGTTTCTGAAGGAGAATTTGAAGGAAACGCCGAATTTAGAACTGTCGACTAACAACAAGCCCTGCCCCCCCCCCCCCCCCCCCCCCTGGCCCTGTCCCTCAGCTTCGCGGCTTCGCTGCTACACTGCTGCTCGGCTGCACCTGTTCAGCTGTGGGGTGGTGGAAGTGCCGTAGCGGGGCGACGGGCGGCAGCCCAAGATGAAGCTGCAGGGCGACGGGCGGCAGCCTGATGAGAAGCTGCAGGGCGACGGGCGACGGCCCGACGAGAAGCTGCAGGGCGACGGGCGACGGCCCGACGAGAAGCTCCAGGGCGATGGGCGGCAGCCAGAAGATTGACGAGATGAGAGGAATGGGGTTACGCCGAAGCGAGAAGAAAAGCGGGACAGAACCGCGGTGATTTGGGGTGAATGGCGAGCAAACGCTAGTGAAGGTTACCTTTATCGAAGTGCAGAAAACCGATGCACCGTGATTGCGGAAAAGGTAGCACGAGAGAGAAACTGTCCACGGAAGATGTCGCGAATCACGGCGACGAGGAGCGGCGCGGGAGAAATTCCGGCCGAGAAGATTAGGTCGATGACGACTCTTAACGTCGAGCGATGAATGTTGACGGCGGCTTCGCCTAGGATTGCGGGAGAAGATTCCGCAAAGGTAATAGGATCAAGATCCGCGTGTGCGGTTGAAGAGCTCTGATACCATGTTAGAACTTGAGCTTAGAATCCATACATTAGC